AGTTTTATTTTTTCAGTATGAGGGACTAAATGACAAGATCACTCTTTAGTGTAATCTTAACATTTTCCAGGATTAGTTGAGCTCTAACATAAATTAATTCAGAGGTTCATGGTTTTGTTTAATTTTGTTTAATGGAAAACTAAGTCCCATTCTCTATTCAGATTCTGATTCTCAGTAAGTCATTCTCTTGATTGTTTTACCTGCTCCACTAGAGAGAGAGAGAGAGAGAGAAAGAGATGCAGCTTTCTCCTCCTTTCAGTTTTTATGACTGAGAGGATTGAGAAGGCATCAGCCTGAAGACACTGCATGTTGTCCAGACCATCAGGTGAGTATGATTTCACAAGTTAGTGGAATCAGCTCTATTTTTGTGAGCGCTGCCTGCATCCAAACTTAATGAATAAATGAAAAAGCTTTGTTTATTGTTTCCTGTGGTTCTAACAATAAGAAATACCCTTGGCGATCCTCTTTTAAAAAGAGTATTGTTGATGTATTTGTCTTATCTGTTTATTCTGTAGTGGGCTAGCTTCTGTGGCAATACTGCTTGATATGTTTGTATGTGTAGAACTGGAAATGAAAGCAGGAAGGGAGATGAGTCCTGAGCCCATTTAGAAATGGGCTTTACTTTCCAGAGTTAAAATACTTCTTTCAAAATATTTGTGGCCATTTTAATATACACATATGTATCACAATATCATATATATTTAAACTTGATACTATTTTGGTTCAAGAAAAGGAGTGGTTTTAACTTGGTTTTGGTGTGGTTTTTTGTTTGTTTTTTTTTTTGTGGAGAAAATATGCAGAAATGTGCAGGTAGACTGAAAATGTGCAGCTCCTTGAGTGGCTGCTCCAAACTATTTTTTGTTTTATTCGATGATTTATTAACTGTAACACCAGTTATTCAGGGTGACCTGTCTCACAGACTTCCTATACTTTGCTCAGGGTCTGAAACACACAGCTGGGCTTCCCACTGTGCCTTCTCACTTCCATTCCAAGACTCACATTTGTTTACGTACAATGGCACAGCTTCAGCAAGAGGTAGTGTGTATCCTGCTCTTCTGTCTTGTGGCCAAGTTGGGGCCTAGATGCTGAGAAAAGTGAAGAGCTCAGCTCTTCATATGCTAGGCTGGTGTTTGCTGGTCCAATGCATAACACTGAGTGCCATCACCACAGTTTCCTTCCAAGCTGTGCTCTTTAGAAGACAATGGCTAAAACTGTTTGGGTGGTCAAAATCACACACAGGTTGTCAAAAGCCTCGAGCATTGCACCAGGAAAGTTTCTGGACCTCAGTGGAGCAAGGCATTCAGTTGCTATGGCTGGGGAAGCTCTGGAGCTGCATAGATGTCTGGATGTGCACAGAATGTTTACACCAAACAGGAGACAGCTAATGAAACATTCAAAATTAGATAGGTACATTTTGGGGTCAGAAATTCGGACTTGGATGTCTGAAGCCCATCTGAGCACTATTTTAGATGCTGATTTTTGTTTGTTTTTTTTTTCAGTTTTGGCCCATAACAGAATTCTATGGGATGTACTTTACCATTGTAGAAGAGAGCCCAAGAGTTGATCCTGCAAATGTGGGGCGTGTGTGTAATGTTTGCAATAACGTCTTCTGTGCTGCTTTCATCATTGGAATAGAAAGATCAGGTGTGGAATTTTTTTAAATAAAAATATTGCCCCAATTGAAACTTATCTAAGCTTGTAGAATGGTTATAGGAACACTAAGACTTTGGATCACATGTAATCTTATATTTTCTTTAAAGTTACTTGTGTTATGTTTATTATGAAAGCAAACACACATGGCAAATGGAATCCATCCAAATTCTGTCAGGGATTCCAAGCAAGTTCAGGCTGAATTCCAGCTTCGCCCATTGCTCTCAACTGCTCCTATCAGGCACGTACCATATGGTCATGCAAACAAATACACGCACAGCTTTTTTCTTTGTCAGAAAGTGACAAAACAGTTTGGGACCATATGCTGCAGAACACAAGCAAGCACTCTAACAGCTTACAGGAGCAGGGTGAACCAACTTGGAGGAAATGTGCAGTTGTCCGTACTTCTTTGCCTGCTGTACATGCTTTTTCTGTGATACAGAGCAAGAATTTTTACTGTGGTTTCTTTGCTGTAGTGACGTCACCTTGGTCCTGCCACGTGATTATCCTGCAAATGTAAAATATGAAACAGTGGGGCTTGTTGTCAATGAAAAAAGTAATTTTTGGTTATGAAGGTGACCTAATTCTCAATTGCTAACTTTGTATGCTCATTTAACCCTCATAACATAACAAGTTTCCCCTGCTAAGTCAGAAAAATAATTCAGAACTGAAGTTTCTATCAAATTCTAATTTATTCCCAAATGGAAAAAAAAATTTTGGATCCATATTCTAGATATTTTGTGAGATTTTTTGAGAACATCAGACAAAAAAAGCAAAATATTATTTTTTGGGAGAATTATGCAAAATGTAGACTAGTTTATGCAAACAGTTTTATTCCGTATTATGTTTAAGAGGTAAAAAAAATCATCTGAACAACTGTAAGCTCCAGAGGAACACAGACTCAGAGCTTTTAAGGTTTTAGGCAGCTAACTGCTTTGGGATTTAACTGATTAAATTTTGTCATAAGAGTCATAGCACTGTCTCTGATTTAGTTTCTTGGGCACACTTTTTAGCACCGACTTCATCTGCTACCTTGCATCAGAAGATTAATCCTATCACCTAATAAATATTGTGCTTACCATCACAACTGAACAGCAGATATTGCCAGAATCGTGGAATATAATAAAAATGAGGAAAGGAGAAGGAAGGCATTAAACTGAGGGCCTAGTTAATATTTTGTAATCTTTCCTCTCCTCACCCTCCCATGTAATCTACTGAAGGAGGTACAGTGTTGTGTAACTGGAAAGTAATAAGCACACTGGCTACTTACAGCCACTGTCAAGTAACAGCTTCATTTTGGAGAGCAGCAGAAGACTGCGTAGTCTTTTCATTATTCACAGGTCATGTGCTGAATATGCTTCCTGTAACATGTTATATGGTTACGTGATCTTGCCCATTTCCCCAGAGATTAAGGCTTTGTTCAGATCTGTAGGTGATATTTATGAAGAGTGAGAAAAAGTTGTCCAGATACTTACATATCTATCAGTTTGGCCCCAGAAATTTACAGATCTCTGGAACAGAGTTTGGAAGAAAAGAGTGTTGTGAAAGTTTGTAGAATAAAACACATTTATGAAGAAGATGCCATGTGAGGTGACATTAGTAGCTTCTTTTCAGTGATTTTCAAAACAAAGGACATACTAGACCTCATTCATCTGGACTTGAATATTTTATATACCTCCATATGGGAAGTTATGGGTTAAGATGGATCTTATGGGGATTCTTTGATAAACTGTAAGGAGGATGATGAGGTGGCAGAAGAGAGAAAAATGAGAAATTCTGAATAGCAAAATATTAGGTAGACGAACGCTCTTCTCTATTGATATTTGATATAGATTTAATACATTCACAAAAGCCTTAGGATGAGTTATGAAGTTGCAACCAAAATTCTTTCTCTGATACAGAAGCAAGAGTTATTCTTGATAAAAGATGGAGCAGGATATCTTACAGAAAAAAATGGTCTTGATAACTTGAAATACAAAAAAAACCCCAACAAAAAAACAAAAAATGGGTGGGATGGAGGTCCTGAACCTGGACACGTAGAATTTTGATGCAGTTCTCTCCAGTTAAGGATACACTGGAAACAATAAAGAGAGGATGTAGATTTTCTAACACATCATAGAATATCTGTAACTGGAAAGGTGTAACTATCATGATATATCGGTCCTCCTATCACAGAAAGGAAATTAGAATTGAACTGATCAAAAAAAAGCATTTTTAATCTTATGCTGAGGTCGAGCCACCCATTTTCAGAAAGATTAAATCAGACTCACAAAAATATGAAGGGATAGAGGATAGGCAGAATGGCAGGGGAAGAGGAAAAGATCAGGGTGATCAGGGAGTGTAGAACTTACCATTTCACAGGAAATTTAAAAATTTAGGCTTATTTGGCGTAACAGAATAAAGGTTGAGGTGTGATTCTGGTTATCTCATACCATAAAGAGGGAAAGTGGGAAGCTACGTATCTGAAAAGATATTAGAGACATAAGATATAAGTATAAACTGGTCATGAGTACACATAGGCTGGAAATAAGGAGTAGTTTTCTAGCCATCAAAGAGGTGAGGCTTGGTGCAGCCTTAAGAGTGGAGCCTATAAAAAAAGATCCTTCTTACTTTTACTTTAAGTTTCATATGTTTATGAAAGGGATTGTAAAATGTGTTGCTGTGATGGCAAAGGACTGAATTCAGTCAGTCCTACACTCCTGCCAAAGAGGGATCAGGACCTCCCTTTGTCATTCTTAGGTGCCAGAAGAATTTTCAAGATGGAACTGGAGACCTGAAAGGGAAGAGGCAGAGTGCAAAAGCAGGAAGAAGAAATACGTTGTCGTGTTTGCCTTTGATTGACCTTTAATGGCAAATGAATTTCACTGAAAGAGTTGCGAATTTAGAGCATAATTTGGAGAAGAACTGAAAGGGATTTGCATGTATTCACTACTCAGCACTTTATAAATGGAGTCTAGAACAACAGGAATATTATATTTATAGAGAAAGCATCTGTTTAAATTTGCCATGAAAGTTTAAAATTATAGCAAATATTCGTGGGCTACTGTGTTTTTGGAGTTTATATGACATAGTTAACAGATGTCTGCTCACAGTTCTGCATTATCTTAGAGTACAGACTTCTCTGAACTGAAAAAATCACAACCAAAAACCTAAAAAGGATTTTGAAAAGCATGTTGAAACTGTGATCAGAGTGCCCTTATTTCTGGTAATATATGACTTTGCAATGTTGCTAGCTTTCCTGGGAGCGGAATAATTTTCTGCCTGTTAAAGATAGCCAGTAAAGTTTGCTTCTGACATTCCAGCGAGAGAAGACTGGTAGAGCCTGCAGAGGAAGATGCGGTCAAGGGGTTCTTGCCTCTTGGAGTACGTGGAGCGGGGCTGGCATCCCTGGACGTTCTGGGGGCAGGAGTAACTGTTTTCAATCACGCAGTGCGTGTGGGTGCAAAAAGGCGTCGGTTGTGCAGAGACGAGGAAGGAGGCACATGGGAGAAGCAGCAGATGCGCCCACCCGCCCGCTTGTTGGTTGTTTTATTGGGGATTTTTCTGAGAAAGCTTGAGGTCTCCTGAAGCTTTTGGGTACAGGATTTGCCCTTTGGAGGGGGCCAAAGTCCTGCTGGTTCTTGGGGGTTGCCGGAGCCACACTACCCCTGTGCAGAGTCAGCGACGGATGTGGACTGCCCGCTCCGGGGCCGCGGCTAGGGCTAGGGCCAGGGCCAGAGGCGGGGCAGCCCCCGGCAGAGGGTGCCGGCGCGCAGGGACTGTCCTTGTCCCGTCCGCCCCTCGGCGCCGCTCTCCTCCCCTGATGTCGGATTTGTCCCGGGTGACGTTGGGATGCTGGGGAAAGAGGAGGAGGAGAAGGAGGAGGAGGGGAAAGGAGAGCGGCTTCCTCCGCCCCCAAGTCGAGGACAGTCCGTTAGCAGGAGCACAGGGCCTGGGCGGCAGTGCCGAGGAGAGCCTTGTGTGAACGCCGAGGTCCCCCCAGGCAGCTGCACCGGCAGCGGACCCCGCTCGGCCAGCAAGTACTGCGACCCCGGCGCTCTCTGCCGCAGCGGCCGGCCGGGCAGCATGGTCCCCGCGGCGGGACAACTCCTGGCCCTGCTGGCGGCCGTCGCGCTCCTCCGGCTCCGTGCGGCAGGTAGGAAGCGGGACCGGCGGAGGGAGGATGCTGCTGCTCGTCTCGAAGGGGTGTGCGTGAGGCAGGGACAGCTGCGCCTGTTCTGAGGAAGTTGCTCCTGACCGTTTGGGATCGGCTGAGCCGCGAGCATCCCCTGTTGCTAGTTGACGCGCTGGTTACTCATTCTTCCTTTCTTTCTTTCTCCCTACTTCTTTTATTCCCTTCCTCGTCCTTTCTTTACTTCCTCCCCCCCCCCTTTTTTTTTTTTTGGCAAAATGGAAACCTGATGTTGCTTTTTTCCCCTCTTTTTCTAATTTTACGAGGGGGCGGGGGCTGGCAGGGGGCGAGGGCCGCGGTGGCTGTGCTGAGCAGGGCTCTCAAAACTTTTTACCCGGGCCGCATTTCGGCGCCGCTGCCCGGGTAGGACGGCGGGAACTCCGCACCTCTCCTCGGCTGGGTCCGCGCACTGAGGCTGGTTGTTAAGGCGGGGGGGGGGGGGGGGGGGGGAAGAAGGAGAAAACGAAAAACTGGAGGTTTTGTTGTCGAGGGTGGGTAGCAATGAGGGGAGCCTCCTCCCTCACTCCGCGCGCCCTCCAGTCCTCCCCTCGGAGGGGTTATAATAATGAGTTATTATTTGGGTCGTTGAGTGTTGCCAGAATCTCAGCGGGAACCAGGAGGAAGCGGGGTGTGTGTATAAAAGTCGAGTGGGCGAGGGGGCAGCAGCGATGCCTGCAACTGATAGAGGCTCGGAGGGTCTCCTTCTGTGTGTTTTTTAAGAGGGTCCCACTTCCTCTGTGTACCTGGCCGACCCTCGGGGACTGAGTAGGTCAGCGTTTGGGCTCAGGAAACTCTAGGACTCAGTTCACTGAGCTCCACAATTGTTTTTAGGGCTAAATTAGCTGTCCTTATTAACATCTGACCTTGCGCCGTGACAGCGGCCGTGCCGCTGCTGAACAGTTGCCAGTTTGTCCGGCATCTCCGAGACGAGCGCAGGGATTTACAGGGACCTTGGGGAGCGCCTGAGGTTGAAAAGCCGCGATGGTGTAAGAGTTACAGTTCCTGTAAAAGAACCCGCGTAAAACTTTTTTTTCTTCCCCCCCCCCCCCTTCCCCACCAGATATGTGATGCCTTCACAGCAGAAAAGGGGAGGTTTAACGTGTTCGTTCTCTGGGATGTGAAATGCACTGGGGAGGTACTGGCTGGCGGATCTGATCTTCCGTGAAACCATTCTCGGGAAAATTGCCCTCTCCCCCTCTGCAGCAGATAAACCTTACTCGCAAACTCCTTCCCAGGGCGCTTTGGCCAGGGACCCAGGGAGGAGATGCCCAGCGGCACCGTTTCCGCGCCAGGTTTGTGACCGTTCCCGCACCATCCCCACCGGGCTGGGCGGAGCGGGGGTCGCCGGGCGCGCATCGCCTCTCCCCCAACCCCCGCCATTCCTTGCTTTAAGTTAATTGCACCAAAGCGCTGGAGGAGACCGATGATGGCTTTAAGGAAAAACAGTGATGCTGCAGATTAGAGGGGATCTGTTAATCAATTGCACGTTTGAAAAGGCTTTTCTTCCCTTTGTTGCTTTCTCTAATCCATTTACCTCTCCCCGAGAAGTGACAGATGCCTATATTTCCTGTGATTCAGCTCCGGGGTCCTAGGTCTTGCCATTTGTTGCATTACTGTGAAGGGAGAGGGTCAGCAGAAAGGTAAAGGAGGTCTGGGAGTTTTCCGGGGGGAGAGCAGGAGGGGAGAGTGTTTCAGCTCGCGGATTCGGGGTCAGTTCCCGTCGCGTTTGTTTTTCCTAGTGCCTTTATTGCTCCCTTTGAAGAGCCTGCCCCGCCGCCCTGCCCTCCTGCGGGGTCCCGGGGGTCTCTCGGTCGGGAGGGGGGGTGTGGTAGAAGGCAGCGGCTCCTCCCGGGGCCGCAGGGGGGTGATAGCCCGTCCTCTGCGGGGTGTAAAAGGAGGTGCCGGACTTTCTGTCCCAGTCTGCGCTTTCTGCCTTCTTTCTGCGGCAGCTGGATCTGGTTTTCAGGCGCAGCGGGAGGGAGACGGGCAGAGTGTCCCGGCGCTTCGCCCCTTCCTTCCCTTGGCCCCCTTCAGCCCGTAAACAGCGACGCTTGTGCATGTGCCATTGCCAGCCTCTTTCTATTCCTCAATCCCCCGAGCCTTCCCCGCGGCTTCTCGGCGGGGGACGGGCTCCCGGGCATCAGCGACCGGCCAAAACGGCTCTCGACGGCTCCGGCTGTGAACGGGGCTGTTCCCATCTCCGCCTGCCTTTGTGGGCAATGCTGCAACTCTCCCTGTCATCAGGAGACATTTCAACGGCGGCGAGGGCGCGCAGCCTCCTCGGAGGCAGTGTAAAATCACAAACCACCAGTAAAAGCGGATTTGGAGAGTATTTTTTTTTAATGCTGGCCCATAGATGGGCTTGTGATAATCGTCTCAGCCACCTGTAGAAAGCGTGGATTCGCTATACTTCGGTAGGCATGAAGTTGGAGACTCCATTTTCTTCGCTGAATGTGCAGCACAGTGGTTGAGAGCCCATAATCACAGCAATAAATACTTGTGTACTTCTATTGTTAAACGGTATTCTTCTGTTAAATCAGATTTGCTTAATGTTAAACAGAGTCTTTGTTAAACTACATTACATTTAAAGGTTTATTTTTGAAAACGTTATTTCGGCCTTTTCAGTGTTCACTTTACAATACGACCGTAGGAGAGGCAACAGAATATAGGGTGCTCGCTTGCCGGTGATGCACCGTATACTTACAGAGTTTTGTCGCTTTACCGTTAAACAGTAAAGGACGTTTAATCAACCTGAAGTTAATACTCATGTGACTTGCAAAGTATGCAGAACATTGCGTTAAAAATAAATAAATGCTGTCAACAGAGTGTTTGGGAATGAGAACATAATGGTAACCCTGTGCCATGACTGTGGAAGCCCTGAAGTTTCTAAACCTTTACCTAGTTTTATGAATTAAAAAAAAACAGCAAACCACCAAAAAACCAACCAACCAAACAAAAATCCCAACCCAACCCCGAATTGCTTAGAGTACAACGTTAGTGGAGGAATGAATAGACGCACCGATTACTTTTGAATGCCTTTAAATACCTAACTACAGAAAGTTGTAAAACACTTGAACCTTTAAAGTTGCATGAGATTTAGCTATAGCTCCTTTCTGACTTTAATAAATGCGATTCAGCTCTGGAAATTGTACATAGGCCACCTGGTAAAAGTCGATACAGCTTTGAATTCAGGAAGTCTTCGCATAGCTTTTAATAAGTAATGTTGACTACATTAACTATTTTTAGGTCAAATCTTAATCAAACCTTTCTTATCACTAATTAAATCGTTAAGTAGTTCAGTGGTGAAGTTTATACTGGGTCAAGGGTTGCCACTGAATGTTTTTTCCCCTTGAGTGCCTTGATTATGTTAAGCATTTGTAATGGAATTGCAGTTTTCTCCTTAATCTCTTTTCTGCTGTAAACAGCATAGAAATGCAAGATGCAGGAAGAAAAGGACCAGTTGACAGACGAGCCAAATTAATCCTGTTTTCTGAGCTTCCAGTTGTTTGCAGGAAGGATGATCTTTTTTCTAAACTTACAGCATTTTGTGTAAGGTGTGAATAGCTTACAGAACTGTCATTGGCATGGAAATATATGTGATCACTAATTAGAAAACTCACAGTCTTGGCCCACTAACCGATGAGAATGAAATATAAAAGGAAAAAATGGTAATAAATATGGAGTTTTGTTCGATAACTACAAGAATCTTCTATATAGAAGACTGCTTGTAGAGTCCTCTTCATGGTTTTTCCTCCAAGTCTTAAATTCACATTTTACATTCAATTAAAATGTCAGCTAGAAGCAGACAGTGTCTGAGGTTTTTAATCATACTTTTGATTGAGAGAATTTATTTTAAAGAGCCTCTTCATGTTATTTTGAGCATTGCAGGCAAGGAAAATATATTAAGCCAACTTCCTTTGGCTTTCATACATAAATCTTTCTATAGATGTTCTGTGTTGCATTGCGCCATTGCTCAGAGGGAAGAAATGCTACTTACATTATTCCATCTAATTTATAGCATCTGTCACTATGTTCTCTGTGCAAAGAATGGTTTGCTATTTAAGTTTGTTTATTCATTGTGAGGCTGTTGCTTTGTAAAGGAAGTTGTCATTAGGCTCAGCATGTCTGGAAAGTATGCAAGTCCTCAAGTCTTCTAATCCAGTGACTACAAAGTAGTTAAAGCTTCAAAGAAAAGGAATGACAGGATTTTGCTGCACTGAAAGAGAATGCAGTGTTTGTTAATCCTGATTTTAATTGTTACTCATACTGCAGACTGCTAGTAACCACTCGGGAGAAACAAATTATTTTCCTCTTGGTTTTGTCTAAACGTGTAAGTAGTTTGCAGTGAAATGTCCCTTACCAGCTTTTTGCATTTATTTTTTCCAAGCCTTTGCTGTGCACTAATACTAATTTGCAAACATCCCGCTAGAAGGTTTTTCTGATGTTCTCCACAGACTTGACTCACAACTGATCTTTTTCTCTTCACATCTGTTTGTCCTCTTCAGATAGTTTGGGAAAGGATTTCCAGTTTCTTTTCCAAATGATTCTGGCCAGTGATCCTTCTTTTTTAAACTAAAAATGGTTCTACGTGACTTTTGCGGTGGCAGCAAAAGGTGCTTTTCAAGAAGTCAGGATGATCCCTTGGCTGTGGAGTAAGACTTCCTCTTTTAACCAGCATTGGGTGAAAGTTTTCATTGAAGAAAAACGATAAATCTGTACTGTAATTTCAGTGAAAACAAGAAATCACGGTAGAAATGTATTTCATCAATGGTACATTTACTGTGACATGGGTAAGTAGATGTATTCCACCTACCTGAGGCTTGGCTAGCTCACGGGGTGGTAGCACTGATCTAGAGCAGTTTGCAAATCATGTTGAAGATGAAATTTGGATGTCCTATGGACAGTTCCATGCTTCTGCTCTGGTTTATTAGTTCTAGTGTATCTGCATGAGCTGTTGTGCACAT